TTAGTTTGTCTTATTAAAATGTTAGGGGATGTATCTAACCACTCACAGAGTACTCTACCACTAGCATTAGTTACATTCCCTCCCCATAGAGGGTTTTTTGCATTCAGATCTGCTCCTATTATGGCATGCTTATTACCTATTATGCTGCTTATTTTTAAAAGGTCCTCCATCAGAACATTTTCTTGTGGCCTTTTATATAAAGCCATTACTATTAAGCTGTTGTTTTGTCCTTTAAGCTCAACTACTGTACCCTCAATTTCACCTAAATTAACATTTATTTGTTCCGCCTTGATCCATCTTCTAACCATTATTGCAGTGCCACCACCACGACCATCCACCCTATTTTGCCGAAAGATATTATAATGTTTTTCATGAAAATTATGCCTGGGAGCCAACTTATGTTCAGCAATTAACAAAATGTCAGGATTGTGTTTTTCAATAAATAGATGTAGGTAATGCCTCCTGTGTCTAGACACAATAGAGTTTACATTGATGAATATTACTTTTAGCTTATTCATTGTTTTAATTCAAGTAAGAGATTAAATATAGCTTGGGCTCTTTCTTCATCAGTTTTGAGATTTATTCGATTTTTGGCATAAATATCAATTTTCTTTAATATGGTAAGCATGTCCTTACCTATGTATTTTTTACAATCTTCATTAAATACTTGGAAAGCATTAGATTGCATGTTATTGCTACCATTATTTGATGCGTTATTGTGGGCCTTAGTAACGCTTGAATATGAAATACTGGAATTTACTATCATAGGATTATAATTCTTTTTATTTGTAGGAGTATTTGATATAGATTTTCCTCTAATTTTTTCTAAAATTTTAAGCCTACTAGGGCACTGTTTATAGCTAGCTACATGTCCGTATTCCTTGCAGTTAACGCAATAAACAGGTTTGCCAATTTGTTTAACAACTTTTCCGGTAATTGGATCTGTGATTATTTGTTCGACATTATTTTGCTCTTTAGGTGGTATTTGGCATTCTTTAGGGCCATGTGGTTGGTCACATTTCACGCATCTGTAGGGCATGTTACAGTTTCCTGCAATATGTCCAGCACGCTGACAGTTTCTACATTGTATTAAATCTTCTCTTTTATAGCTTTCTATTGATACTCCACATTGTAAAATAAATTTTTGTCTCATAAATGCTTTTATATCACTATCTCTGGATAGCTGTATTATCCAATTACTTCCTTTAAGTTCTATAATATTTAAAATTTTTATATGTAATTCATTTTCTCTCTCTTTATAGTAGTTTAAAATGTCCTCTTTCTCAAATGCGCCTGTTAATTTTTTAATTAATAATGAAATTGGTTTTTCTTCTTTTGGAGTATATGTAAAAAATGAATAATTGTTTTCAATAAGAAATTCTTTAACTTTTGAATGATCTTCAGATTTAGATAATTTCAAGGAAGTTAAGTTCTTATTTATAACGTTGAAAGTAAACAAGTTATGTCCTAGCAGGTTATTTAATTTGTTTGATATCTCTTTTATATTAACATTATATATTTTGAATATAGGTGGAGGGCTGGTCTTACCTGGTTTGTCTAAAGTATTTATATTTGTTTGAGAATCCTTTTGAGTTTCATCGCTACAGCTAGGCGCCATTTCCACGTTCAAGTTAGATGCATCCATTTTTTCTTCAGTGTTAATGTCGTTTATAACTCGGACGGTAACATTTCTTTTTGGTTTACGTCTGGTATTCGCCATACCGAAGCCTTCGCTCGCTTCAGCAGCCCAGTCAGTGTTTAAATTATTATTCTGTTGAGATGTTTTATTTTTCGTAACATCATTTTCAATGTCTGTGTGTGTTAAATCTTCATTTACATGTTTATTATTAGGTTGATCAGTAATTTCATTGTTTTTCAGTTTTTTAATTTCATTTTCCAATTCCTTTATTTTTATTTTCATGCTTTCGCGATCCTTCATAACTTCATTTAAAATGGAATGTAGTTTTTGATTACGTTCATTTTCACTTTCAAGGTCTTTCTTTAATTTAAAAATTTGTTCTTCATCTGTATCACTAGAGATATTTTTTCCTTTTTTACGCTTTCTATGCTTTCCTTTAACTTCACTTGTGCTTTCGGTATTAGTACTACCTTGGTCAGAAAAAACTTCACCAGGATCCATTTTTAGGCAGTTCTTTTTAATGTTTTTGGGACTCAGGCAACTTTGCCTTACCCCTTTTAGAAGTGTAAGTTCACTTAGATTTGTTTCTTTTAGTTCACTCACTTTGAGAACACTGAATAAAAGCTTTTAATTTACCCTTCACTGCACTTTTAATTAGTCACTTTTTAAATAGCTATCACGATGTGCACTGTTTCACTGCTCGCGGCAAAGTCCTCGTTTTTTTCGTTTTTTTTCCGGCGATTCCGCTCGTATTTATACAAAATTTGAGGCTCTCTCCAACCATTTAACGCACAAGTAAAGTATGTACAGTTATATGTGTGTGTGTACATTTGCCGTTAGTATTGTATGTTCTCTCTTGTGTGTGCGTGTACATTTGGTATACGGATAGGTAAGAATTCACTAACATATCAACCCCGAAAGTTGATGCTAACAGCACAATTTTCTATAAATACTCGTTTTCGTGGCGATGGCAACGTTATTACAGTGTCTACCGTGTTTGTGTGCATATCTCTAGTGAAGTGAAAAAAATTCAAGTGAAAAATGGCTCGTACTAAGCAAACTGCCCGTAAATCGACCGGTGGAAAGGCTCCCCGTAAACAACTAGCTACCAAAGCTGCCCGTAAGAGTGCCCCAGCCACCGGCGGTGTTAAGAAGCCTCATCGTTTCCGTCCTGGTACAGTTGCTTTGCGTGAAATCCGTCGTTACCAGAAGAGTACTGAATTGTTGATCCGCAAATTGCCCTTCCAACGTTTGGTTCGTGAAATCGCTCAAGATTTCAAAACTGACTTGCGTTTCCAGAGCTCTGCTGTTATGGCCTTGCAAGAAGCCAGTGAAGCCTACTTGGTTGGTCTTTTCGAAGATACTAACTTGTGCGCCATCCATGCTAAGCGTGTCACCATCATGCCTAAGGATATCCAATTGGCCAGACGTATTCGTGGAGAACGTGCTTAAATTCTTGACGTTTTAAAAGCAACAATTTTACAACAAAACAATCGGTCCTTTTCAGGACCACAAATATTTTACAAAAAAGAGATATTTTTACTCAATCTACAATTTTTAGTATTTTTTTGAAATAAATAAAAATAATTTAGGGCTATGATTATTTTTCAACAATTAACATTTTTTATAATAAAGATATATTTTTTGATGTTGTTTTTTTTTTTTCGTTGATGATTTTTCGACACTTTATTTTTTATTTAATTTTTTTATTTTATTTTGATCGAATATTTTATTTTTTGAATTTTATTTGAATTTTTTGAATTATCCATTTTGATATTTTCCTTTAATTTGCAAAATTATTATCATTTTTGTACTCCCTCTTCGAAAAAAAATGCAATGACTCATAAAAACAACCACCACATACATTTTGCTAACGGGATTTTTTTTGTCCATTTTGTTTTTTTCCTTTTCCCGTTAAACAAAAAATTGCTCTCTTTATGATTTTTGGCGCGACATTTGTCTATTTCTCTCATTTTATTCCCCTTCGATCATTTTTTTCTGTTGTGGACTATTCAATTTAACGGGAAAAATTCTCTGCCTTCAATTTCTACGAATTATTTCATGTGAATTTTAAAAATTTCCAGCTAAAATGTTGCCCTCCTATTTAATTTTTTTCAGGAATGATGTATGAAATATGTTTTTTTCATTTTCAGCAAAATTTTGAATTGTTTTATACGCATTTTAAGACATTTAAATATGAATTTTCTCCATATGGAATTACAAAATTATTTATGCCCGATGTATTTAGAGAAATTGGTAATAATTTATTATTTTCAAAAATTGAAGAAGAAAATAATTGATTTGTTCAGAATTTTGATGTAAAATATAATTAAAAGTATTATAAAAAGGAATTCCAATAATATCTACCTTTGAAGTTGATCGAAAATCATTTTTGTAAAACGCAATTAATTTCATGACATTTCTAAGTGTTCTAGTTGATATTTGCCTGTAAAGAGGAATTTCTTTTTGGGAATATTTTTTTATAAAATTAACAAAAAATTGACAAAATAACGTAGAAAATGGCTTTTAATACTATTTTTTATAAATTATAGAACAAATTATGTTAAAATTCACAAAAAATATTGCAAAATGAAAATACATAACCGTTTGTCAGTGAATGCCTGTACATTGGTAGTATGAAGTATTCTGGGGATTTTGTAACTTTTCCCCGTAAATTATGACTTTTTGTGAATAATGTTATATTTTGATGTAAATATACAAATTCTGAAATGTTTTTTAAGAAATTTTTATAAAACTTATTAAGATTTGAGCTTTCAAATTTATTTCAAGAAAAACTTTTCTTCATTGAAATTATGCCAACAAGAGGATTTCTGCTGTCATAGACCACATAATAATTTCAATTTTTTCACATAGTAAAATATGAAATTGCATCAATATTTTTCTTTGATCCTAAAGTAAACATATCAGGCTACATTTTCAAAAAGAATTTTCAATTAAATTTTCGTAAAAAATTTGATTTTTTTAAATTTTAGTTGGAAATTTGTGATTACATTTTTATAATCTGCCAAGTTAAACGTTTATAATTCACAAACGGCAAGTGATAATTACACCAAACTTTCTTTAAAACATAGCCTGAAATCTATACTTTAAAGGTATAAAACATTTTTAGTGAAAATTATCAAAGCTTCTTCAGGAAAATTTAATTTCTCCGAAAACTTTTGTAAAAAATTAAACACGCTTCCACACAATCTTTCGAAAAATTTACCAATTGACTACTATGCACATCTCATCTTTTCGATGTACCTACACTTTAGCTCGCCGCTAACAAAAATAATAGTACACATAAATTTGTGAGTGTATTTGTGTTAACAGTGAAATATAAACCAAACAGTGAATAACCATGTCTGACGCCGCCGTTGTTGAAGCCACCGCCTCCCCAGTTGCCGCTGTTGAGAAAAAGGCACCAAAAAAAGCCGCTGCCAAAGCAAAGAAGCCATCAGCTGCCCCTACCCACCCTCCAACCCAGCAAATGGTTGATGCCGCCATCAAGACCCTGAAGGAACGTGGAGGTTCATCATTGCCCGCCATCAAGAAATACTTGGCCAGCACCTACAAAGTAGATGCCCAAAAATTGGCCCCCTTCATCAAGAAGTACTTGAAAGGTGCCGTTGCCAGTGGAAAATTGATCCAAACTAAAGGTAAGGGTGCTTCTGGTTCATTCAAATTGTCTGCTTCGGCCTCTAAGGAACCCAAAGCTAAGACTGCTGAAAAGAAGAAGAAGGCCCCAGCCGCTGGTGACAAAAAGAAGAAGGCTGCCGCCCCTAAAAAGGCCGCTGGTGAGAAGAAGGCAGCTGCCAAAAAACCCTCTGCCGCCAAGAAGACCGCTGAAAAGAAGAAGGCCGACAAAACAAAGGCAAAGGCTGCCAAGGAAAACCGGTACAGTTAAAGCTAAACCAGCAAAGACCGCCGCCAAAGCATCTGCCACTAAACCAAAGGCACCCAAGGCAAAAACTGCAGCTGCTAAGCCCAAAAAGGCCGCAGCAGCAAAGAAGCCAGCTGCTAAGAAAACCGCCGCCAAGAAGTAATTTTTCCCAGAAAGATTACTTTTTCCACAATATTTTCGATATTCGAAAACATACTATCTAACAGCCCTTTTCAGGGCTACAAATTAAATTAAAAAAGAGAAAAATATTTTCAACAGTTATCGTATATATTTTTGTTACCTAAATAAATAAGTAAATTTGTACACGTGTTTGATTTTGGGAAAAAAAAATTACTTTCGCTAATTACTGTTCTTATTAGGTAATTTTATTGAGCCAATATAATCGAGGACGCCACTGGATTATTTTTTAACCCAGGTCATAAAAGATAATAAAATATTTAAATTTTTTCCTAATTACCCACAGGTCATAATTCTCGAAAATCCCCATAATTTGGTCAATTTATAATTTCTACTTAATTTTGAAAATTTTGTCATTTTCATATTCTCTCAAATTTCACAAATTTCACCCAGAAATGACATTTTGGCAAAATATTTACATTTTCCATCAATATATTTTTTCCTTTGAAAATTTCTGCCTCAGCCTTATATTTCGTTGCTTTGCCGTTGTGCTGTAACAAAATGCTCACACATACATGATGCCCATTCGATGTTGATCAACGACGGCAAGGCAAATCACCACTAACACACGCACACATACACGACGACGATGGCTGTTATAGCATATCGCACAAGCAAGCAAGCAAAGGTTACACATAGGCACATATGCGAGTTAGCTAAATGCATGGAAAAATCATTGTATAGAGAAAAATATATTTCTTATGGAATTTTATTCGTTTATTACTAAATAATGATAAATTGTAGCTTCAACAAAAATATGATCTCTTTTGAAATGTTTTTTGTGGCCCTGAAAAGGGCCTTTTAAGGTAGTATTTCGACGCATGAAAATGAAAAATATCAAGACATTTACTTGGAGCTGGTGTATTTAGTAACAGCCTTGGTACCTTCACTGACGGCGTGCTTAGCCAATTCACCGGGCAACAATAGACGGACGGCGGTCTGGATTTCCCGACTGGTGATGGTCGAGCGCTTGTTGTAGTGGGCCAAACGAGAGGCTTCGGCGGCAATACGTTCGAAGATATCGTTGACGAAACTGTTCATGATGCTCATGGCCTTGGAGGAGATACCGGTGTCGGGATGGACTTGCTTCAACACTTTGTAAATGTAGATAGCGTAACTCTCCTTACGCTTGGTACGTCTCTTCGACTTATCGCCCTTGGTAATGTTCTTTTGGGCTTTGCCGGCCTTCTTTGCTGCTTTACCACTGGTTTTAGGAGGCATTTTCACTTATTATTTTTTTGAATCACACAAACACTTTTAACACTGTTCACAAATGATAACCAAAACGGGCAGCTATACAGAATTTGTAGATTGTAGTCGACAAGAATTTCAGGTAGTCACAGCTAGCAGGCACACACAAGGCAAACCACCCCATTATTGAAGAAATGTGTGTGTGAGAAAAGTATAAATAGCACGTTTCGATCCGAAAATTTTTATCATTTGTGTTTTTCAGTGCTTAGTGAAGTTTCGTGTTCGACGTAACAACGTTGCTGGCGGGAAAAATCAACCCCGTCAGCACTCCTGTGGTAGGAGAGTTCCCGCCAAAAGTAATAATGGCGGGAAAAGGAGACACTGGTGCCGGGGAACAATAATAACTCCGGTATTGGCGAAGCCAGCCGGCATATTTGCCAAACCCACCAAGGCAAATATACCCAAAAGAAGAGATTATGTTGCATCTGATGGTGCACTAGTGACGGGGGCCAATCAATTAGCTCCGATGTGGTTAGGCAGCCACGTAAAAAACGCTGCCACTGCAACGTTGGCAATTCTGCCAACGAGAACATCAAGCTGGAAGCTTGGTACGCCAGCTTGAAGCCCGTATTGCTCATTTAGAGCTAGAAAGGAGCCGTATGGCAGCAGAGCTGGCTGCTGCCAACCAAGCGCTAGCCAAATCGCTATGATTGGCCCCCCCAGCAAGGAGACCGTAATGGCTACCGAGGCAGCCGAAGACCTCGGTATGGCGGATGAGGAAATGAAAGGCTAACGCCGGCGACAGAGAAGAAGAAGGAAGCTCTCAAAGGTGCTACACCCAAAAGTACGGTATGTACTTAAAGAGAATAAGGAGAAGGCCCAACCACCCACCTCAAATCCCCCGGTGGTTGCTAATTTCGCTACTGATGCTGCTGCTGCTGTCAACAAGGCTCCTGCCTCTGCTGTCACCAAGGCTGCTATACCCGCTGCGAAGAAGACGAAGGTTCCTGCTAAGCAGACACCAGAAGAAGGCTAACGCTGGAAAAAATATGCCAGCTTTTAAAATTTTTGACGCTGGCGTAACGGAGATTGCTGGCGTTCTACGACGACATCTTAATACAGGTGAGTTTAGCATCACTATTGTCCGTCCGTCCGTCTTGGCATTGAAGGTGAAAGGCCTCAACGCTTTCAATGTTGTCAAGGAGACCTTGACAACACGTGGGTATAAATTTTATACCCATACTCCTAAGGAGTTACGCCCTCATATGCTGGCCATTGAGGGTCTAACCAATGAATATTCGCCTGAGGCTGTTAGTGAGTTTCTTACTAACCAATCAGGCCTTCAAATTGAGATTCTTGGTCTGACCAATATCTCTTTTAGGCTATGGCTTTTGCGTGTCAGCAAAAGCTCTGACATCTTGGGGCTGTATAACCTCAAGAGGATTTTTGATTGCAATGTCAAGGTCCGAAGGACAAAGGTCGTGGCATGCAGCAATGTTTCAATTGCCAAGGCCACGACCATATTGCGACCAATTGCACTTTGCCAAAGCGCTGTCACAAGTGCAATAACAATCACGGTCCAAAGAATGTCCTGTTCCTCCAAAGGGACAGGACACTCTCATAGAGTACACCGACCCAAATACCGGCGAGGTGATTAAAAAGGTGGCTCAACCTTGCTATTGTGTTAACTGTGGCAAGTATGGACATCCTGCTTCGGCCAAGGACTGTCCCCACCGTTTGGCAATTTTAGCCCGCAAGGCTAAAGCTAAGGCCGACATTCAGGCCAAAAATGAGGCGCGCTCTCTGCGCATTGCGGCAGCCCGTGCGGACTTTTCGTACGCCACTATTGCAGGTGGTGGTCCTAAACCAGCACCAGCCCAATCTCGTGCTAGTAACATTTCACGTTCTAGCAATCGACCTCCCAACAAAAAGAGGTAATTTCTCAGTCTGAGAATATTGTTCAGTTCTTTGGAACTGACTTTTCTCAAAAATGCGAGAAGGCTAGGACATTTGGTCCTATCTTTCAAAAAATAATGGCATCTTCAGGCATTGACGCCGCCATGTCTGCCTGGTTTGCTATGCATTGCTGGAAATGTCCAGTTTTAAGGTAGTTTTTGTTAATGTGAACTCTTTGATTTCATTATCAAAGAGACACTATTTGAAGTTGTTAGTTGAGGAGAGGAGGCCTGATGTACTCCTTTTGGCTGAGCATAAGCTCAACCCTTCTCATAATTTTAGTTTAGAGGGATATAGGGTTTTCTCCAATATCGTGATGGGGGCGCAACGCGGGGGTGGTACCGCGGTTGCTATTCGAGATGGTATTCGCTGTGATCGAATACCACTCTCATCCGGACATATTGAGTCTTGTGCGGTAGGGTATGGAAGGACGATGGCTCCACTGTAGCTTTCGTCTCAATGTACCTCGCACCCAATGAGACACTACGGTCCGAAGATATTTTGCGGGTTTTTGCCCTATATAACTCGGGGGATTTTGATCGGAACCGACCTAAACGCGAAGCACACTTCGTGGGGAGGTTACGCGAGAAACGGTAGTGGACTAGTTTTAGACAGACTTTTACAGGACTGCCTAGAATTTGACGTAATAAGGTCGGATATTCCGACTAGGACGGCGACATCTGCCTCATATCTAGATTTATTTCTGCGTACACCAGGACTCCCTCTGGTTGGCGGCGGAAATATTTCTATGGCATTTGATTTTGAATCGGACCACGGGCGATTCAAATTCAATTAAATTTGGGGGTCTGGCGAGAAATGAAGGACAGAAATTTCTGAACTTCAATCGCATGAATGTAGGACGATTTAGGCGTCAGCTTAGATTAGGCTAGATGAGTGCACACTACCATCTAACAGAAATGCTTCAATAGATGAGGTAGATAGGTGTGTAGAAAATCTAGGTGAGATTTTCCGCAATGCCATAGAGACCTCTGTACCTAAACAGAGAATCAGGCCTAAAACTCTTGGAGATCTTCCTCCGAGAATATTGGGCTTTATTCGCGAGCGTCGCAGGCTATGCCGCACTCTCCGAAGATCTGGGGATCCAGATAGATTTCCTGCTCTTAGAGCGGATATCAGAAATTGGATCGCATAATTGAGGACTCTGTTCGAATCTTTGAACAGGAGAGACTCAAAACTATTTAGGGAGAATAAGAGTTGATGGGAAAACTTTTGACAAAGTCAAAAGGGCAGCAGGACTTGATACTAGAGAACCTGTAAGTCAGTTATAGACAATACAGGTCGACTTATTACGGACGACGGTGAAAAGGCAGAAGCCTTGGCAGACCATGTGCAGGGTGTTTCGCCGGGCATGGGAGGACCGAGTGCTAATTTCTCAGGAGGACCAGTTAATCGGTTTCCTGGGGAACATGATGCCCTCCGTAGCTCAGTTAGTCGAGCTACCGAGGGGATCAGCGATCGGTCCCCCATGGTAAATTTCGCGATACATTTACTGCAGATGGGGCTATTGTTGAAAACGCCACTCGTTGGAACGAGGGTGGTTTTCTTCGCGCCGGTTGTGTGGGTAGGGCAATTGCCCGTAGGCCAGCACGTAAATCCTGCGGTTTGGACAGAATACCCGATACCGCCTTAAAAAAGGCGGGAGAGGTTATTTTCACGTT